AGGACAGACTTGTTTTGAGAAACCGCGTCTTCAACGCACGACAAAATGATGATAGTCCTTAGTTCCCAAAAACATGGTTTTCGATAAACGTACCTTCATTGTTTTGATTTCGTCCGCACTTTTCTATCAAATAGGCCAAGAACTGTTGGAATTTAGGACTCAAAATACGTCGTACCTAGATACAAGGCATTGAGAACAAAAATAGACAGTAAAAGACTGTATGTGGCCACTGGTGAAACACAATTTTAATAGCATTAAAAAAGCCAGAGGTTTTATAATGACGCTAGCACGTAGAGTTGCAGAATATTTGTCTCACATGCTAAACAGAAACCTTGCCTCATCCCACATAATGATAAGTACCCTGTTCCACAAGAGAAAGATGATTCTGGAATATATTCTCCAATTGACACTGAACCAGTACTTAAGAGTAGTAACAAATAATAGTATTAAAATAATAATAATAATAATCATGCTAACAATGTTAATATAACAATAATTTAAAGGGGCTAGCTCGAAAGACTCATGGTTTCCAATCCTCTGGACTCCAACATGCCTATGCTTCTTTTTAATTCCCTTGTCAATTATGAATAATTTTCCTATTCAATTGCAATTCCATATTTTGAGGCTCTTTTTTTTTTCATGCGTAAAAAGTATTCGATCGTTCCGCGACCCAAAATAATCCGCAACTCCTCTGATCCACCGTTCTATTGTTTCTTAGTTCCTTCGTTCCATCATTCTTTTGAAGAACTGAGGGTATCGTATTTCGCAGCTTCCTCGCTTCGCAAATTTAGCAGCTCTTTTCGGCTTAAGTCGCTGATTCAAACTTCAAAATGCACCTCTTCTCAAAGCAAACAATCCTCAGAGTGTTCATTATGTACAGATCACATCTATTGAGATATTCCCGCGGAAAAAGTTTGATTTAAATTTAGCGTCCGTGGATGCCCCTGTAAAAGTATTTTGAGTTGTTTATCGTCAAAAGGTGATACGTTTATGCTGCGTTCTGTTTTTGCGAGGGTTTTTTTCTACAGGAAGGTTTTTTCTTTTGAAAGATCAAGGACAATCCGAAAATATTCAAATATCAAATACCGCTAAAATTTCCTTCGTGCTAAGCGAAATGTTTTTTCTTAAACTGGTTCATTTCACATTCTTCACGGCATGGAACAAATATTTATGAAAGTATCCTCTAAATTTCAGCTTATCAACGATATGAAGGTTGCGAGTTAGTACCTGTTTTGTTGATAAAGTGTAGAGAATGGGATTGATGGCAGAGTTAACCGGCAGAACAAAGACTGCGATCCAAACTGCCAGGTCACCAGGTGTACGGAAGGATTTTTCCAAGAGAGACCTCAATCCAATTACCACAATAGGCAGCCAGCAGACACAGTCGGTAAGAACAATGAAGAACACTCTTTTGGCGAGCGAGGCCTCCCTCCTCAGATCGGCTGCCCTTTGCTTGGCTTTCATTTTCCTCTCTCTTTCGGTCCCTTGCTGAGCCAGGCGCCGGTTTGATGTGCAGGATTTGTAGATAATCATGGAGTAGGCCACAATGACGAACTTNAGTCCATCAGACCCGGCCAAATGTATCAACATGATAGACTGTATCTTATTCTTCTCCTTTGTCTCCTTAAACACCAACCGCCACACGATGACAAACACAGCACCAACTAACGACATAATTCCGACAACCCAGAGACATATCCTAGGGGCTCGATCTCTGAACATAGTTTCACAACTGGCGAAGCTGTCGACATAAGCAAAGTCGCAATCTGCGTCCTCCTTCGTCAAATGGCAACACATCAGGTTGGTGTCTACAGTCCTACGGTTAATAAAAAAGAGTTGAAATGAATCCCAAAAGGAGAAGAAAATAGAAAATTTCGATTCTGAATTTAAGACAATGAAAGGGTAATAGTAATACTCTACATGTTGTGTTATTGTATACAGATAAATGAAATTTCTCAATTGAACATCTCCAGACATCATTCCACTGACTTACACTGTTATTAGATTTCTCATGTTCGAGAAGAAACCGGCCGGCAGTTCTCGCATTTCGTTGTAATGGAAGTAACTGCAAATTACAGGAAAGCGATTCAATTCAACATCACTCGCTAAGTTATAAAGATGCTGCTGTCTTAAGCCCAAGTATTTTCAAGCTTTTGGGCTCTCTTCTTTTCCTTTGCTCCACCCAGTTCTCACACCCCCAAAAATTCACCTCTTAACACTTCGTGAGACTCCCTGGGATTCAGAGGGGTGGAAGGAATGGAAGGGTATACCATTGTCAATGAACAAATTTTCCTCAATTGCGTTGATACCCATACAGTTAGGACCGTGAGTAATGGGAAAAATAGGCATTTTAGAAGACGAGAGAGCAAGTAACCAAGTCACACATATCTGAATACGAATAATTCGTTACTGACTACGTAAAACATACCTATTATATGGAAATGTGCATACATACAATATTACATCGGTAATCTACTTGAGAGGGGACGTTTAATTTAGAGGAAGCCCTCATTTAGTTTTCCCGAAAGTTCTTCAGTGGCCAGATCTGATCATGATTGGTTTTAGGAGTGTAAAACTTGCGCGTAACTAATGGTATAAACTATGCATTAATATACGAAGCCCGTCCTTAGCTTTATCCTCGTAGAGGTAACTATGGGCAACTCGAACAACGTAATTCTCAACTTGCATGATTTGGCTGACTGGATTACTTGTCCTTAAAAATAGGGGAAGGGACGCTAATCTGAGAGTTAAAGGCATTGTCTCCCTAGTATTTGGAATTCACTCTCCGTGAAGCTTACAATCCCACGTACACCTTGAGTAATTGCAGTTGTTTCATACTCACAGGAATCGAATGCTTGGCGCGATATCTTTGAATTGCTCGTTGCTCACTGTGCGGATTTTGTTGAAGTAAAAGCTCCTGTAAATGACGACAACAGGAAAGGATAACTCGTTAATGACAAACATGAAAACATGAATTTAGATAAAATAAAAAGCAGGATAATTGATTGTGAGTGAACACGAGTGACCACGCGTAACCACGCGTGACCACGCGTTACCAAGAGTGATCACAAGTGACCACGATTGTCTATGAGCGACCACGAATGATAACTTCTTGCCACTAATTACTCGTATGATCAAGAGTAACTACTGAGCAGTAACCAGAGGAAGGGAGGAATGGTGTCACTCTCCTACTTCCCGCCACACGAGCCTTTTATCCGGTATCAATAACTCGTCAGTCCTCTCAGTTAACTTTTCATTTTTGCTTTTTTGTTGTTTTTTTTTTTATCTTTTGTTTTATATTTTACGTATTTTTGGTATTTATTGCTCGTTTTCTTTCCATTCATTTCCCCAAGTTCCTTCCCTCTGCCTCTGGGCGGAAACGGGCTCATTACATAACAATTCTTGACAGAGAAGTGGCTCTGGGAACTACCCTTTCAATGAAGGAAGTGATACATTGTTTGCATATGTCAGTCTCTAGGAATATGGCTTATCAACGTTCAAATCCCAAGTTTTTGGATAAAGTCACCTGATGATAATGAAATTATGATGTCAGCCAAATTTATAACTTGTTGCCCTAGATCACGTGTAGCCACTCGTGGTCAATTTTGGTTGTTAATGGTCGCTCGTGGTCGTTCGCTGTCAATCGTGGTCACTCGTGTATAATTTTTGACATAACCTTCTCAAATGACGGAGATGCAGAACATGTGGACGACTGCGCTCTCACAAGACCCCAGTTTTGCAGTGCTTCACTAACTTCGATTAAAAATGCTAATGAGAAATAGACTTACATAGACTGCAGGTTTGTTAAGCCTTTAAAAACTCCACGCGGCAGGTACTGAATATTGTTTTCATAAACAGCCCTTGAACGACAAAGAAGACAAATCATTATCACCGTGACCTAAAGTACAGAAAACTCTAGTTGCAAACAATCTTCTAATTCCTTTATCGACTCTACCATGTCTTATCACAAAGATATCTTTATAAACT